TTTTTTCTTTTTTCTTTTTTCTTTTTTCAGGGAGCGACAATAGTTGACCTTCCTGTCACCGTAACTTTGGATCCAGATTACCAGCTGCCACCAGCTGCTTTAGCAGCACTTGTTGTAAGAATGCTGTGTTGAACTTCTTTTAGTTGATAAACCCTGTCACTTTACTGAACTGGTTATACCTAATATGTACAGGCAACAGAAAATAAAGCTCCCAGTGGTGAACCAGCTCTTCATAAGGCAGAAGATATGGTTACTGGCATGCTTGCTAAGGGCTTTATCTTGGGTAAAGATGCGATCAACAAAGCCAAGAGTTTTGATGAGAAGCACCAGTTGACTTCAACAGCCTCAGCTAAAGTTGCTTCTTTAGACAAAAAGATAGGTCTCACTGAGAAGATTAGTGCTAGCACCACTGTTGTTGGTGACAAAGATCGGGAAGTGGATCAGAAATTTCAGGTTTCTGAGAAAACTAAATTGGCACTTGCAGCTGCTGAGCAGAAAGTCAGTAGTGCAGGATCTGCCATAATGAGTAACAGGTACGTGTTTACCGGGGCTGCTTGGGTGACAGGCGCATTCAATAAGGTTGCAAAGGCAGCTGGGGATGTTGGTCAGAAGGCTAAAGAAAAGGTAGGGATGTCCGAAGAGGAACAAAAGAGGAAAATGGTGGATGACTATGCTCAGGTCCACCTATCAGAGTCCCCAAAAGCATCTGGTGAAAGTGAGCAGCAGCCTTCCAAGCCTCCACCTGCTCAAGGTTTGATTCTTTAATTTGTAATTGTAAATTTCTTAATTTCCTACTTCTTCCAGCATGGAAAAGCAGTGATGTAGGACATATTGCTCCAATTAGCTGGATAAGATTGCATGTAATGGCTTGACTCTTCTTCCCTGGAACAATAATATACCAAATTATGTTAAATTCTTGTTGTTTCTGTTTTGAGTTCCTTGGTGCTTGGGTTCTTTGACGAAGCTTACAGCGAAAATGAAGAAATCAGAAATTCACAAACTCTAAAATTAAGCTTAAATGTAGAGAGAATAATAATTACTCGGGTTCCTACTTTTGTTTCGAGGTCCTTGTTATTTGGTTTTTGTGATGCAGTGTACAAAGAAAATGTAGAAATCAAGATTCCACAAACCCTAAAATTACATTTAAATTTTAGAAAGAATTCCAGTTTTTAAAATTCTATATATTAATAATTTTTCCTATTTTAAATAGTAAACTAAAGCCATCTAGCTAATAAAACCTGAATTAAATACATATCACAAACCTAATTAGAAAAAAAGGAAATTGAAAATATTGAAAAAACCTCCTCCAAACCCTCTGCTTCTGCATGAAGTTCTGTAATCTTTTGTCTGGTTCGCTAAATGGAGCTGCATGAGAAACTTGGATCCTCTGCGATATCTTTCATCATGTAGTCGCCCTTCGAATTTGGCGAATGGAGCACCTGATAGGCAAACAAGAATCCGGTCACCGGTCAAGAATAATAAACGGGGTTTTGTCCATGTCTCTATTTCTCAAAATCATAGCAATAAAATTCATTTTGGATCATCACTTTCTCATGGAGAGGAAAGTGGATCGAAGATAAGGATCCGTGTGGAATTCATGCTCCATTGTTTGCAGTAATGATGGATTGCAACGGAGATGAAGATTAGAATCGCACATCATGCATTTAGAGGAAGAATTCCCTGCTCTCTTATTGACAGATGCCACAGTCACTAGGGGTCTCCCTCCGAATTCAAAAATCATGAAAATACTCCCTTTACACGACAACGATGCGTATTTTATGAGCATGTAAGTCATCTTAGTTCTAATTAAAAAATTATACTAAATTCCAAAAATCATATTTTTTTCTATTTGTTTTTCTATTTCATTATTTAAATTTAAATTTAAAAAAATAATTTTTTTTCCTTACTATTTATAAGTTCATCTCAATTTCATATTCTAAATCATGTGTTTGATTTGTTTATCCAAGTTGGATATCTAGTTCACTTAAGGTATTTTTATCCTTTTTTTTATTATATCAAGAAGTGTTCATTTTTTATATTTTTCTGATTTGTTTGGCCTTTCATGATATTTTTTATAGTATGAGTTTATTTAGTTATTTTTGTTTGTATTTATCATTTAAACCATGATTTTTTAGAATAGATTTATCTTTTATTTATTTAAATAAAAATATTTATTAAAAATAATTAATTAAATATCTTATCTTTATAGTGTCTTTCTTGATTATTGTTAACATTTTTATATTTACACGAATAGTTATTAATTTATTTAATTAGATGACTGCATAAACTTTTCAAATATACTTCTCATTTTTCATGTAAAAACACACATTCATATTAAAAAAAAAAACATTTATCACATGCATGTCAAATTCATGATTTTAATGTTTTTTTAGTTTCTTTTCTTTACATTTTTTTTAAAAAAATTATTTTTATTATTTACACATGGCTTATTTATATGATTTTTTTGTTTATTTTTTATTCTTTTGTGATTTTTTTTAACATTTTTCTTTGCACTTTTTGTTTGTGGAAATTTATTCTACACGGACTAAGAAAATAGTATTTTGTTGTGGTAATTACAATATTATTTTATTTTTTCATCTACATTAAAAATTAATTTGAGATACAATATTTTTTTTATTAATACATATAATTTTTATCATATTTTATTATATATAAGGATTGATTTCGTAATTCATGAATATATTTTTTATGTGATGTAAAAAAACACGTTAATAATATTTGTATGTTAATTATTTTGCATTGAAGATAAAAAGTATCCGACTTGTAACTAGACAAGTTGAATGGATGCGTTAACTCTTTGTTTTTTGAATTTATTGACATAAATAGTTCTCATATATATATTTTTATTTAATTTTTTAAAAAAATAAATTTAAAAAGCTTGTATTTTTATTTTATTTTTTTTCCTAAAACATTCACTCTATCAGCAGTGTAGTGGTCATGAAAGTAATTGTACCGTAAAGAGACATTTGGGTAGATAAAGCACGAGGGTGAGGTGGTAATTCATTTGTCTATCTCGAGCTCTTTAAACAAGATTAAAGATTTTTTAGATGATTTTTTCAACTAGAATAATTATATATAAGTTTAATGTGAAGAAAATTAAATTAAAAATGAATATTTTATAAGAATAAAAATTATTTTTATTTTTTTGTCAATGGTTTTTATATGGTTTTCAATGAATTAGTTATTTTTTTATATTTTCATGCAGACTAATGAAAATTATTGTATTATCTTTATTTTATTTTATTGCAATTTTATTTTAAAGTCATGATAAGCTTTTTTAATTAAAAAATATGCTATTATTAAAAAATATGTCTTGTCGAAATAAATATGAGAACAGGAGTTTCATCTCAAAAGAAATAAGTTTTTCTCCTTAATAGAGAAATATGTTTTCTCCTTTGGGATTTGTATCCTTCAAATTTTTGTAAATATTTATTTTAATTATTATAAAATTAAATAAAAACTAGTTTTTTACATAATAATTATCTTCAAAATCTACGAATGAATTCCAATTAAAAATAAAGATAATTGTAGGTTAATTTTTTTTAATTATATGAGTTGTTCACATCAGTTTACATAAATCTCAATTAATTTTTATAAATCATAAAATTAACAATCAAGTAATCTTCTAATAACTATCAAGATTAATAATTATAAAAACTCAAATATAAAACTATAAAATAAATATTTTAATTCCAAACTTTAACCACAACCTACTTGATGATTTTGTTGATACAACGATTGTAACATGTGATGGCAGCTCCGAGACAAAATAGCTAATTTATCTCTATTTAAGATGATGTGGTAGCGCAGTCATTAATACAGCCACTATTTGTTTTACAGGAAAAATAGTTTTGTTAAAAATATTTTAAGAAATTTTTTTTAATATAAAACAAATATTAAAAAATAGGTAAATAAAATATGTTTTTCAATCAACCTTAGATAATTTCAATCTGGAGAAAAATATTTTAACCTTGTGAAAAAACAGAAAAAATATTTTCCTGAGTGCTGATAGCTTATAATATTCACGAAACAATATTACGTGAGCCATCCACTATTATAACCATAATTTTATTATAATGTAACCATTATATTATCATTAGAAAATATAACAAATAACTCATTTTTTAGGAAATATTTTTATTCTCGTAGAACAAGCCAACCCTTAATGTTACATAAATATTATTGTAATAATTCATGATTTTATTTTATTTATTAGAAAGTTATGAATTGATCATTCTTTAATGTATGCTATACCATCTAAGTTAGCAGCTAATTTTGGAGATTAATTGTAAAACGGGAGAAACACAAAGATTTAAAGCCGTTGATTGAGAATTTGATTTTAGATTTCCATAGATTTAAAGCCGTTGATTGAGAATTTAATTTTAGATTTTCATAGTTTAATGTTCATAAATATTAATTGATTTTAGATTTCCGTAGTGGTAAAGCAGGACACAAATAGCATAGAACAAGGATGTTAAATATCAAGTTAAAATTGGGTCTGTTAACCATTTAGATGGTGGTCAAGTGATGAGCATTTGAGATTAAGAGGTTTGTTTCCTTTATGATTTCAGGTTTAAGTCCTTGATTGTTCATATGATGGCTACTGAAGATTTACATAATCGTTAATTTCATAACCTATAAGATTAGTTCTGATACGTATAAATTGGCTCGAACACCCACATTAATATAAAAAAAAATTGAATCTGGTGGACGAATGCACGCTCCAATTCGTGCATTTTCCTGTCGTTTGTAGCCTGTGCCCTTCTACCATTTGGGTAGCTGCAGTCACGAGTTGGGCTCCACCATATAAAACAGCCTGTTAAACATGCTCGAGACCATGTCGCCAGGCTACCACTCGTGACTGTAGAGACCAATCAACGGGAATCACTTTAGAGAAGAACCCTTGTTTATTCTATTCCTCGCGATAATGACCCCAATAATGGATATAAATCACTATTAATCAAGCTATTTATTTATTTATTTATTTATTCAGTAGAAAAACACAACAATCTCCTGTGTGAAATTATAAAAAGCACCCGGTGTAGTTATTCACCAGTTAAATGACCCGTGATGAAGCGGGTTAATTTTTATATATAAAAAAATTAAAATTTAAAAATATTAAATATTTTTTACAAAATTATATTTAAGAATTTTAGATTTTACTGTAATACTGAAATTAAAAATAATATTTATAATAATATTAAACATGAAAAACTTAAGTCAAATTAAATTTGACTACAATATAAAACTCAATAGTTTTGAATATGAGTTTGGCTGCAAAATTATATCATAAAAGTATAATACTTAAATAGATTAATAAAAGAACAAAACAAAGAAAAAACCAATATAAAGAAAAAGAAAAAAAACTGTATTAACTGGGTTAACCCATCAAACTTAATATTGTGTCATGAAAGTCTAATAATTAAAAATTTTAATATTAATAAAAAAATAATTAAAAAGAAAAAAAATAATTTTTTTCATCGTGGATTATACTGTGCAGTCCACGATGAAAGACATAGAAAGAAAGAAAAAAACTAAAGGCATTAGTCTTTTCACTGTGAACTGCATATAATATTAAAAAAATAAAATCAAAACAATAAAAGTAACGAAGAAAAAAAATAATCTAAATCAGTCGAATTAACCAGTCAGACCTGGATTTTGTATCATGAAAATACAATAATTAAACAGGAAAAAATTAATATTATTAAACTAAATTAAAAAATATAAAAAAAACTAGAGGCATCAACTTTTTCATTGTGGATTGCACTGTGCAATCCACAGTAACAAACTTACAAAGAAAAAAAAATAAAACAAAGGTATACACCACGAGTTATTTTTTTTCTTACATGAAAAATATCAAAAAATATTAAAATCAAAGAGTGTTGTGCATTTGTACAAAAATATATCCAAGAG